GAGAATACACAGAAAGAAAATGTGTAAGCAGGACAGAGACACTATTATATCAGCATCTGTGGCTTAGCAAAATAAGATTCCAGACAACATAGGTGGTACTAGTAACCTATATGAATGAGAACCCATTAGGAATCCAAATTACAGAGATCCTTCAGAACAATAGACCCCTATCTATTATTCTTTTAGAAACAATAATTTGTGAATGAAATATTACATGAAAAAAATCAGCCAATGGCTAAAGTACACAGACTTTATCATATTAACAGCTGACACCTTAGTTTCTGAAAAAGCCAACTAGCTGTACTATAAAGTAGTCTGGGGAAAATGGAAGGTCAGGTTAGTTTATTTAATATAATCAAATAATCAACTAATCTCACCTTTTCCAATTTATTTCCTGTCTTATTGGACAACAGCTCTTTTGTCTTAATGCTGAAATAAGTCTCGGGATGAACACTATACTGCTTTACATGGCTCCAGTTGGCAGTAGCAATGTGTGTGAGACATTATTACAAATTCAGAATCAACTCAGATATGAGGGTTAGAAGACCAGAATGGATGAAATGAGCCCACTATTGGCAAAGGGTAAAATCAGTTGATTTAAGAGACCCTGTCATGCACAATTGATGTGAATTTTTTTTTCACGTTCTTTATTGGTATATTCTTGTGCTGAGTACTGACACTCTATTACTTGCAAACATTTATGCCCCAAGTATTTATCTTTGGAAAATCTATTCAGCTTTCTAATCTAGTCTCCTTTCAAAGTTGAAAGTGTCCTGGTTCCCCTGTGGAAAGAGAAGTTTGCACTACTAAAAGCCTTCAAAGACCTGGGGTCAAATCTTGACTGTCACTTACTGACTATGTAACATTTGGCAAATTATTTAGCCTCCCTGAGCCTCATTTTTTTTTTAAAGAAGTATAATAATCTCTTATTCATAGAACTAAATTAAATAATATTTGTAGGCAACATGGCTAAGAAGAGGCACTCAATAAATACTGGCTACTATTGTATGGATTCGATTATGAACTGTAAGTTTCCTTTCAGCTCTTAAATTCCATAAGATTTGCAAAAAATGAGCAATTAGTACAAGTTTCTCAAAGTTTACATAATCAAAAAAAGATTCCATTGTCAAATAAGTTTGTGAAATGATAGGTGCCATATCACTTTTCCTTTGGTAAATGAAAATTCATAAAACATTTAGCTTTAAGGAACCAAGAGTCTTTTTATATTTATTTGATCATGGAAAAGTCTCTTTCCAGAAGATATATTAACATCCTAAAAACTTGCTGGTATTTCTCTACAAGAAATGCTAAGTTCGCAATTGTTAAAATGCCACAATATAAGTAAATCTTCAATATTGAAGTAAACAGAATGATCTTTAATATCTGGATGCCAAAGTTTAGGCTAATTTGATTTTAAACAGCAGTAAGACAAGGCAGAATAAATGAAGAATACAATGAAAGTTAAAGACCGTGGACTAGGGCCAAGACTTGGCATTATAATTATTTTTGGTTGGTAAGTGTTTTAATAACGAAAACTGCTTATGGAATTAAGGATATTCAAGACATTGTTGAAATTCCTGGTACAGTTGTTTATTTGCCCTGAAGGAGGAAGACACAGTATATCAGAGTAGCCCTGTGGTTCCAGTTGTAATCCTGCAAAGCTAAGATTAAGTACATTTGGAGAAAAACTGAGGCTACTGCAAAACTCACAATATTTGCATTCATATATTTTAGGAAGAACATCAACTTTGTTTTCCTTTCAACTACCATAAGTAGTATTGGAGTCTTCTTAACATTTTTATTTATTTATATATTTACTTTTTTCTTAAGCTAGCAATTTCCCTTAGTTTGCTATTTTTCTATATAGATGTCATGTGTAGTTCTAGGAGGCAGAAAAGAGACACAAGACTAAAGGATTGGGTTTTTAAATTACTTTGAAATCAAATAAGAGCATAAAACATGGGACTTGTTATTTTTATTATATGACTATTTATCTGTTTTAAGCAGCAAAACAGTGTATTTTCAAGTATTCATTTTAATGAGTTGAATATTAACCACTGATAAGTTCTTAGCACCATTATTAATTGCAATTTACTGATGCTCTAGTTGAACTTGCTTTCAGTTTTCTATCTCCATATCCATATGAAAAAAGAACATTCACAGTTATTGCAGTTAAATATAGCTAAGTCTCAAAACAGTTTCTAAAGTTGAGTAAAGATAGACGTTTAAATCACCTAATATTTACTGTCCAAATCTGGCATTTTCAGCTATGTCAGTACTTGGAATGTACATTATATTTTCAGGTAAAATTTTTGTGCTCATTCTATTGAATCTTGTTAACATTTACAGTAAAGGACAAACAATTCACCTATTCTGATAAAATATATTGTAGCTTCCCAAATCCTTTGCATTTAAAATAAATGCCAACTTGTTTTGGTATCCATTACCACTTTCAAATTGCATTATGCAATATAATGCAAATGTGAGTTCTTAATTAGCAGGATCTGTTTTATTCAAATGTACAACAGTAGAGGGATTTTTCAACATACTGCAGCTGTTACCTATGGAGGAAACACATTTCACCTTACTAAGAGGAGCTGTAATAAGTACATATGTTGTTATGGATGTATCCTTTAGCGTTTCTTTAAGCAATGTTTTTTCATAATGGATTTCACGTTGAATATAGCAAATTTTACCATTGCTGCCCACTCAATTTCTGCCTCTAGGTTGTTTTTAAAAGAGAAGATGAAATTTTTGAAGGCAATGGAGAGTGAGGTGGAGAAAGCTTTCTTGATGAAAGATGCAATATTGCAATATTTACCAAGGTCATAAAAAATATGCCTATATATACATATCTACTTAAATATTTATTTAAATATTGTATGTGCATTTCTGTAGACACGCTGTACCCGGCAATCATTTGCATAATTATAATCTGAGGGACAAGTTAACAAAAATTAAAAAAAAACCACATATATTAATAGATACTGCAGACTATATAGACAGTAGGACATTATTCGCAAATAACGTGATAAATCATTTGTCCATCAAATTCTGGGCCTGGATTTGGGTCTTTAAACATCAACCAATTATGGTAAATGTTTAACTGTAGCAGTTCAGGCAGGCAGACAGCTCAATCCTGGTTTCAAAGCTCTTGCTAGTTTTAGGTTAAAGATTTTTTCATTTTTAAGTAAAAGCATTTCTGGAAATTGGCTATACCTTATTGTGGCTAGAGCCACTGGAATCTGAATAAGTGAATTGGGCAGAACACAGCTCCTGAAGAAATGGGCCTGAAGAAATTTCACCTGAAATGTGGAAAAGAATGACTTACCTGGAGTCCTAGGGAAATCCTCCCCATTTATAACTTAGCTCTATTTACCTCAAGCCAATTTATTCCCACAGACTCAAAGTAAAGAGAGAGTTGTTTTTCTTAGCCAAGCACCCACAAAAACAGCAAGGCTGGGGGAGGGGAGCAAAAGAAACTGTTCTAGCCTTTTCTGGTTTAGAAAAGCCAGGTATTTGAAATACATACATAACAGCCAAACTCCCCCCACACCACCACCCCCACCCCGCCTCCAGGTTCATTTTTTGCTTTCTTAAAAAGCTTTATTAACTAAATTACCGACCTGCATTAGACTGGTTTAAACATTAACCCTTCCTCAGGACATGCCTACCCTCTTGTGGAAGCAGCAACAAATGGGTAGTAGAAGGGGCCTAGACTATCCACAAGCTGGATTTGCAGCCTCTGGATGTTTGAGACTCAGGTGCCAAAACCTCTTTGGTATAGACAATGAAGGGCTACAGAAGTGACTTTTCTTAGTCCACTTCTTCTCCTCTCTGTCTCCCTAAGGTATCTCGTGGGTCTCTTCCCCTTTCTTCTTCACAGTCCCTCTGCACAGCACCAAAGCTTCAAACCTTGTCCCTCCATCCCCCTTCCCTAACGGCTCCCATCCACCACCCTCCTCCCAACCAAAGTCCCCTCCCGGTCACCACCAAATCCTGGAGAAACGGAACGCACACAATGCCTCCCTTATAGGGCTTGAGCTAGGAACTGGGCATGCTCAGTAGCCAAAACAGATTTTTTTTTTTTTTTTTTTCTTTTGGTCGCAAGTGCGGCATCTCTCTCAGTCCCACACCTCTTTCCTCTACCCCTATCCCCTATCCTCACCCCCAGCTTTTTAATCGGCCCGCTTAATCCGCTCTGCGCCTAAGGCCCGCAGAGTTCTAAGGTGCGGAGTATTAACCCGTCTCCTCCTACCCCCGCTAAATAGTCTCAATTTGGGAAAAAGCCTCACACTTTTGCCTTAAAGCCCCCGGCCCCTTACGCGCAGACAGGTAGGGGGAGTGCGAATACTACTTGATCCCAGAAAACTGGTCCCAGGACGGCTCCATCCAGGATCGCCGGCTACCGAGAAGTATTCCCGGAGCCCTCAGTTCTTCGGGGTGACAATTAGCCAAAGGTACCGTACTCGCGACACAAAAACCAAGTGCGATTGTTGCATTTGAATGTCATTGATGTTGACTCACCCCCCTCCATCCTGGAATTATTCTATTCCGCGGAGACTCGACGACCCTGTCTATCCCCTTGGTCCCCCCTCCCCCTAGGCTCTCCCATGTTTCTTTGGCTTTTCCTGGGTTCTTCGTTGCTCTATCAAAGGAACGGCCCGGGTGTGCGTGTGTGTGTGTGTGTGTGTGTGTGTTCCTTCTTTCTTGGGGGACGAGGGGAGGAGAAAGGACTCAAATGTGCATGTATGTGGTGGTGGAGGAATGGAGACTGGAGCCCCCACATTAGAGGGCTGGGGACTCTAAGCGTGAGGAAAGGGGTCGCTCCTCCTAGGGGGTGTTTTAGGCAAAAAGAGGAGGCGGATGCATGGAGGAAAGCGCTCCGTCTTTCTCGGTGAGAGGGTGGAAGAGAAATCAAGTGGGGGTGTTTGGGCGGAGTACGGGGGGGGGGACTCAGGAATATGCTGGGGTCGAAG